CATGGTGGCAGGTGCCTGTAATCTCAGCTACTTGGGAGGCTGAGGCAGGAGAATCGCTTGAACCCGGGAGGCGGAGGTTGCAGTGAGCCGAGATTGTACCATTGCACTCTAGCCTGGGCAACAAGAGTGAAACTCCATCTCTAAATAAATAAATAAATAAATAAATAAATAAATAAAAAGTAAAAGTCATCTGAGAGACTCACAGGAAGAAACTACAGCAACCTGCCCACAGACGGATGCTTAGGTGGGAGGTAGTGCATGTTGCCTGGTATTCCAAGTCAGGCACACCAGAGTTTGCCTCTCAACTGTCTTATTATTGCTGACTGATGTTGAACTTATTGAACCTCATTTTCATATTACATAAGTTGAAGATAATATATCTACATTTTAGATGGATGTTAAAGTGCTGAACAAGTGAAAATGACAGACCCTCAATAAATGTAGCCCCTTCTTTTTAACTCTTGAGGCGGAAACATAATTGAGCATCAAATCATTTTCTGTATTGTCATTCGTTTCACAAATAGTTATTGACGGCCTTCTGTGCATTGGGCCCTGTGCTAGAAGCTGAAGAGTATTCAAAAATGCAAGCCATCAAAGAGAAGATAATATAGTTGTAAGATGATATGAGGAGAGATCAAAGGAGAAGTCAGTGTCCAAGATAGCAACCAATCGGAGCCCTCACAAGGCTGCGCCCCATTCATGAACAAAGGAGCATCCAGGCAGTGAGTACTGTGCGTGATGTACGAAGAGTGGTGTGCATGGTGGACAGAGAGTGCTGTGAGTTCAGAGTACGGTGAGGTCACTGAGGACTGGGATGGGCTGGAAAGGTTTCAAGGAACAGGAGAAATGCGAGCCAGACCTGGAACCTAGTTAGCATTTGGAGAGCAGAATCACTGGACGTGTGTGAAGTGACTGAAGGAAGAAGAGGGGAAAGGAATGATTGTGTTAAGTGGCAAAAACCCAGCCATAGAGCAAGGTGAGCTTAGGGGAAGTCTGGTTTGACTGTGTAGGAGGAGTCCTGGGAGATAGGGCTGAGAGGGAGATTGGTGTCAGATTATGGAAAGCTTTGGAGGTCAGGCTAAGGACTTCAATTTCCATGACAGGCAATGTGTTTTTCATTGTGTGCTCTAGGGCACACAGATCTACCTCCCACCTGCACCCTGCATTTTTTAAATGCCACTTATTCTGTAGTATTCATATATTGTACTGTTTTCTCTATTAGAAATATGTGTCATACTATGCCCTAAGCAAAACTAGAAATTCTACAGGATAGGGCTCATGAAGATTTCCTAAGTTGATGTGATTTAATGAGGTAGCAGATCTTAGAAGCTGGGAAGTAAAGAAGGTTTAGTGATGTCCGTGGAGAAACTGGGAGCATACTGCTCCGACGGTTTGTAGAAAGTGCCAGCCACTGCACTGTCTCCACACTTGGTGCCTCTCCAAATGTTGATTTTAATGCTCTTGGAGTTGCCTTGATGGTTTGGACCTCTAGTTTGAACAATATCACTGTAGACCATATTTGATGTTACTTCCCATACACTAATATCAGAATCCTGAAATACAGGTGTGATGTGGATTGGCTGTGTCCACACCCAAATCTCATCTTGAATTGTAGCTCCCATAATTCCCGTGTCATGGGAGGCACCTGGTGGGAGGTAATTAAATCATGTCGGTGAGTCTTTCTTGTGGTGGGGTTCTCATGATAGTGAATAAGTCTCACAAGATCTGATGGTTTTAAAAATGGGCGTTTCCTTGCACAAGCTCTCTCTCTTTGCCTGCCATCATCTGTGAAATACATGACTTGCTCCTCCTTGCCCTCTGCCATGATTGTGAGGGCTCCCCAGTCATGTGGAACTGTAAGTCCATTAAACCTCTTTTTCTTTCCAGTCTCAGGTATGTCTTTATCAGCAGCATGAAAATGGATAATACAAGGTAGAAGGCACATTTCTGCTGAAAGGTCTTAGATCTTCCAGATTCTTTCAGATTTTGCCTGATCAAACTCCTTCACTCTCCTAAAACAAACCAACCAAAGTAACAACAGAACAGTAGTAACAAACTCATCAAGTAACAATAGAACTGCTGTGTGTTTATAACTCCCTTGCTCTCTAGAGACCCCTGTGCTTTGATATTATCATTTGCTCTTTCTCAGCTTAACTCTGAGGAAGAAATCAACCAAGAACCTTGGGAATCAAGTGACCAAGGGCAGAAAGCAAGAAGGGTGCAATGCAAACATGGCCTGCCTGGATGTTTGCTTTGGTTTAAAGAGTTACCAGGGATAGTATACTAACCTTTTATTTTGCAGGGGCCTTTACTTTCCTGGTAAACAGCTGTTTTTAAAGTAGCAGTTTCTCAATGTGACTGGGCAAACAGATCCTTAAAATAGATCTGACCCTCCTTTCTGTGCATCAGCCAGGGTGGCAGCAGTGACACCTGGGCCACTGGTCCCAGTTGCATGCCAGGAAAATAAGCAGTAGTGTCTGGGTTACTTTTCTATCCAGGGCACAGCCGTTTATCCCACTGCCTCTTGAAGCCATAGCCTGTGGTGGCCCCGACTACCACCAAGTAGTAGACTCTACACACAAGTGTCTGCAGCCCCAGGCGCTGAGAGAGACCCTCCCAGTAGGGCATGCGCAGGGACCGCCTTACTGGCCTGGAGTAGATCACTTTGGTTTCACAGACTCTTTTTAACGTGGTTTTCCATAGCAAGGGCAGCTAACTGGGGTGGAGGTGAATATGGGGCCTGGGAAGAGGCCATTCATAGTGGTTCCTACAAGGAACAAGGTCAGTGTCTCCCCTTCCCAACAGGAGCCTGCTCCTGCAGTTGGGGGTCATGCCTAGCTCTCAAGGCCCTAGATGCTGACC